CGTAGGCTTTCGTCGAGGCAGCCCGTTGTTTCAGTGGTGTTCGGCAGAAAAAGTGTCAGTTTTTAGTTCCATGAAATCGGTGCCGAACACCGCTGGGCTTTCGTGTGTTTTAAAATGGCCGCTGCCCCATACGAACGACGACCACCCTGAATTCGGTTTAATTGAGAAGTGTCTGCGGTTAACCACAACGTTCTAACTGGGATCAAGAGGTTAACCAGCAGCACACTTCTATCCTGGGTGGCCATCCGTTCGGTAGATTTGGCTATAGAAACAGCCATTTACACGAAAGGGGGCAGAAATAGACGAATCCACCATAATAGACAGACAGATGGTTCTGTCACACGGCTCCCTCCTTGTGGGACACTCCGGCAGACCCGGCTTGACCCTTTGGTGGGTCAACTTGGGGATGACCGGACTAGGAGGTGGTGGAGACGTCAGTTTACCGGGATAACCCATCTGCATTCCCGTTCTGCTTAACGGCGAATCCACCATAATAGACAGACAGATGGTTCTGTCACAACTACGTTTCCACATGTGCATTTAGAAATCTTTGCAAGTTTGTGAGAATGCTTAGGTATTTCTACCAGGAGGGTGCGAAAAAGTAACAGCATCTGGGGCATTATCATCATTTTGAGTCCCAACCATGAAATCATTCTCTGTTCCCTGGGATGTGTTGTGTGTTGTAGTTTAGTTATTAGTTTAGCGGGATTAAGCTGGATCACTCTAACGTTTGGTGGTGACAAGTTGTACACCTAGGTAAGTTAGTGATTTTTTTTCCCTCCAATCACATAAATACGGTTTGGAGAGAGCACCTTTGGTTGATTTTGGCATATTAATCGGGAGTGCTTGCGTTTTGCTAATGTTGTTTTTATAGTTTGAAACCGAGCCATATGTTTCTAATATTTGTATCAGCTGGGGCAGGGACTCTGTAGGCTGCGACAACAGAAGAAGAATGTAATCCACAAAAAGTGTAATTTTCTGCTCTCCCACAACTGTTGGCAGACCCTGTATCCTGTCGTCCAGTTGGATGTGTTTAATCAGAGGTTCTAAGGCGAGGATAAATATTAGTGGTGATAAGGGACAACCTTAGCGAGTGCCATCGGTAAGGAACAGCTTCTTGGACAGGAAGCCTGCATTGAGTATTTTGGCGAATGGCATTGTATAAAGGACCCAAATCGCTTTTAAAACTTTGAGGGGAAAACACATTTTTTGAGAAATGTTGACATATATATCCAGTGAAGTCTATCAAAAGCCTTTATGACATCAAGTGCCAACAAAAACCCCAACCTTCATTCACGTTGCATCAAGTCAATAAGATCCAAACATCTTCTGGTATTATCACCCGCTAGAGAGCACTGTACAAAACCTGCTTGCGTTAGAGAAACCAGGCTGGGGTAACAGTGGTTTAATGCTGTTGGCAATGACTTTAGAAAAAGAGTAACGTGTCTGCCTTTTAGGGTCAAAGTTTTCCCATTTTTTGGGTGGTTTGCCTGGTTTGGGTAATGCTATAATGTTGGCCTCCAATGTTTCTGGGGGCATATGGCCCATTATCATAATGTATTTGAAGAGGTCTGTGAGGTCTGGCATCAGTTTATCCACAAAGATTATGTAATATAGATTGGAGCAGCCATCTGTGTAAAGACTGATTGCTGGTTCGTCTGTTTTGCCTTTTCGTGGAATTACCCGTTCGTATGCCTCTGTTCAATGAATTGACTTTTTCCGCCGAACTAAACTACCGAACGGACGGCCACCCAGAAGTGAAGTGTGCTGCTGGTTAACCTCTTGATCCCAATTAGAACGTTGTGGTTAACCACAGACACTTCTCAATTGGAACCGAATACAGGGTGGTCGTCGTTTGTATGTCGATCACGAGGCAACGGCCATTTTAAACCATGCCAAAGACCAGCGGTGTTCGGCAAGGATTTCATGGAACTGAAAACGGACACTTTTTCTACCGAACACCGCTGAAGCCTTCGACCTCCCTTCTCAATCGACAGAAGTATACGAATACCGGCTGTTCGGGAGTTTTATATGAACGAATAGACTTACCCCAGATAACCTTCCCATGGAGTCAATCGCATGCCGAAAGACTGTAATAGACTTTGACTCCATTGCGATTGAACTATACGTATGGGATCTGAGTGCTATTCGCCAATAATATGCACTCAGATCCAGGCTATCTGGATCCAGGCTATGTGACACGAATGGGTAACATTCGACAAATATAAAGTTATATATTTTTATGTGTTTTTCTGTGTTGAATTTAAAATGGCGATTTGCCTCTGTCCTGGAGATAATTGAATTACTTCTCAATTATCTCCAGGGCAGAGGGGAGGGAATACTAATGCATGCTGGGAATATTCTGTGTCGGTGGGTCCTAACCTGCCATATGTCTGTCCATTGTTACAGTCTCCCATTTGGTCCCCTAGGGGAGTGTCCACCAAGTGGGAGACCTGCATAAATACGGGCAGGTAGCCCACAGTAAAGCCAGTTCATGTTTTACCCTTAATGCGGAGCTTGGTCTCGTTATTGGGGGGATTTATTACCGACGACTAGAGACTGCTGGATGGAATTAGTAGCCGCTTGGGAGATATATGCGTTCGGCTACTATTGGTGATACGTAAGTTTGGAGCTCGGGAAGTGAAGTGCCCGTACGGACCCCGTTCGTGAGTTTACAGCGTTCCCTTGCTTGTGGTTTTATGCTTGTACTTGATACGCATGCAGCCTATGTTATGGTGAGAGGGGAGTATTCGCTAAATGACGGTTTGCGCATCTGATGCTGAGGGTACCGCAACAGTTCTTATTCAGGTTGTACCTATTCATATTTTACCTGCTCTATTGCCCTGTTGGTAGTGTGTCTATTTAAGTTTATGCATGTATGTCTCTGTCATACGCAGCCATATGCAATTTAGGTTTCGTTTTATTCTGTTTCTCTAAGTCTGCTACTTGTTGAGTTAGCAGTCCCTGCTCTGCCTCATATTTTTTCCTCTTTATAGATCCCAGTTGTATGAGTAGGCCTCTTATAACAGCCTACCCACTTGGTCGCCACCTTTGTTGTGCCTTGTGCATTGTCTAGAAAATAATTTGATAGGTCTCTTTCTAGGTTTTCTATGTCTCTCTTGTTAATTAAAGGTGCAATGTTCAATCTCCACATTCCTCTCCCCCTTGTTGCGTATAATGTGCAAAAGTTTATTGTCACTGGTGCATGGTCTATAGACACCTCCTCTAGGTTGTGTAGGTTAGTCCTGTCCGTCAGACACATATCTATCCTGGAGTACATGGTGTATATGTTTGGGGGGATAGAAAGAGACAGTCCCTTGTGAAAACGAGTATGTTTTATAGTGAATTAGAGACTTGAGGTATCCAAAATGGTGGGCACAACCTGGATCACGTGATTGGCCGGTTTGCGTCGCAATGGAAATCACGCTGGTCTCCTAACTGAGAGGAGAGTAGGGCGGCTAAGAGAATAACCTTCTGTGAAATGTTTATGTACCCACCAGTGTTTTTACAACGTATGTTCTTATTTTACATTTTCCTTTTATCTCATATATTTTAAATTATGGTTGTTTTCCTTTTTATTAAGTTTGATCTTATTCATGGATTTTTTCCTACAAATATACATTTTATCTCACACGTCCCTTTTATGTGTATTCCCATCAGATTTCTATTTTTCTCTCTTGGCATTTGTTTTTGTATTTTATTTCTTTTTACTTATTTTACATTTTTATTTACTTTTTATGCCCTCTTCCTATTTTCACCCATGTTTTTATAGATGCTCCTTACATACTTTCCCTCGTTTTGTACATCCCCTAGCATCTTGATTCCCCCCTACCCTGCACTACATTTCCCTTAGACCTGTGGGGTGGGAGGTTTCTCCTGAGCCTTCCCCTTTCTCCTCTGAGTGTGGAGATTGGGGAATTGCAGTTGCTATGGCGACACGACCTGGCCGATCACATGGCAAGGGTCGCTCCCGCCTTTCTTTGCTGTAGTTATTCCCTTTAGAGGCCGCCTTAATCTCATCTCAGTTAGGAGACCGGTGTGATATGATTTCCACATGTGGTCCAGGTCACAGATGCCATTTTGGATACTCCAAGTCTGCAATTAGATATAAAAAATACTCATTTTCACAAGGGACTGTCTCTTTCTATCCCCTCAATCCTTTTTAAACACACACAGGTTGTCTAACTAATCAAATACTTGACCCCCCATTCTACTCCATCCATCTGGACCATCCAGGGTTGCATGGCACTCATCAGTGAACAGGACTGTTTGAAAATTAGTCTTCATGTATTTTTCTGCCCAATGCAGCCGTTTCTGCTTGTGAGCATTGGTTAGTGGCCGCCGAATAGAAGGTTTATGCACAGTTGCATAAGGACTCTACACCATGATGTCCGTGGGACTCAAGAGCTTCAAATATCTGTTTGCTGCTATATAATGGTATTTTAGTAGCTGCTCTCTTGATCTGATGCATGGATCTGGCAGAAATCTTCCTCAATGTGCTTTTATCTGCACAAACCCGTCTGTGCTCTGAATCAGTAACAAATCTCTTAATAGTGTCATGAGCACGCTTAAGTTTTTGTGAAATATCTAATGTTTTCATACGTCGTCCAAGGCATTGAACTATTTCACTCTTTTCAGCAGCAGAGAGATAATTTTTCTTCCCCATAATGCATGAAAATGGTGCTCTGCTTAATAATGTGGAACGCCCTCCTTTAGTAGCTTTTCCTTAAATTGGGCTCACCTGGCAATCTAATTATCACTGGTGTCCGAGATTGTTTTAAGTGATCAAAAGAGCCTTGAGACTAGAGTTGAGCGGACACCTGGATGTTTGGTTCCAGCAGGTTTGGCCGAACTTAAAAAGAAAAGTTCGGACGAACTTTGAAAAAAAGTCCGGGTTCATAGTAACCTAGAATGTGATGGCAGATAAGAACCATTCGGCCTATCTAGTCTGCCCAATTTTCTAAATATAAAAACTAGCATTGTCACACTATGAACTACGATGCACTAGCTGGGACTCGAACCCAGGTCGCAAGAATGGGAATCTTGCATGATGCCCCTACACTACTAGCCCGGCCCCCACCCCTGTGCGAACTTGACCCCGAACTTGACCCTGAACCCGAACCCTATTGCAGTTAATGGGAACCCGAACTTTTGGTCACAAAAATGCCTCTAAAAAAACTCCTGGAAAGGGCTAGAGAGCTGCAAAATAAAATAAAATGGGGGTAAGAGTAGGACACGTTCCCTGCAAACAAATATGGATAGGGAAATCACTTAAAATAACATAAAATAGCACTAGATGGAATCTTTGATTTTAGCTTTGGATGAACATAAATCAAAATCTAAAGCATGGCTGTCAGGAGGATCAACAGAATTATCCATTTGTGAGAAGGTTGGAGTGCAGGGTATTCTCTTTCATTGTTCAAACTGAGCTTAAAGGACCACTCTAGGCACCCAGACCACTTCAGCTTAATGAAGTGGTCTGGGTGCCAGGTCCTTCTAGGGTTAACCCATTTTTTCATAATTATAGCAGTTTCAGAGAAACTGCTATAATTATGAATGGGTTAAGCCTTCCCCCTAATCCTCTAGTGGCTGTCTCATTGACAGCCACTAGAGGCGCTTGCGTGCTTCTCACTGTGATTTTCACAGTGAGAGCACGCCAGCGTCCATAGGAAAGCATGCTTTCTATGAATGAATGCGCCGCAGCTCTTGCCGCGCGTCGCATTCAGCCGGGCGGGGCGAAGGAGGAGGAGAGGAGGAGGAGAGCTCCCCAGCGCTGGAAAAGGTAAGTTTTACCCCTTTCCCCCTTCCAGAGCCGGGCGGGAGGGGGACCCTGAGGGTGGGGGCACCCTCAGGGCACTATAGTGCCAGGAAAACGAGTATGTTTTCCTGGCACTATAGTGGTCCTTTAACTCCTGATGCACGGAGAAAAGGCCTTCACAAGCCTCTGCTATTGTGTACGTAGTTTATACTAAGTAACCCATAGGTTGAGGAGGCGTTGACCGTAGCGGTGTAGGTGGAAGCGGCGGTGGAGGAGGTAGCCAACACTGTTTTTATATATATATAAATATATATATATATAAAAAGTTTAATTGTGGAAGCCCCCACAATATTGGGACATACAAAAAAAAGAAACATTTGGTGCATGGAGAAATGATCAACTTCTGATGCATGTAGAAAAGGCCTTCACAAGCCTCTGCTAATGTGTATTTAGTTTATACCAAGTGACCCATAGGTTGAGGAGGCAGTGACCATGGTGCTGTAGGTGGAAGCAGCGGTGGAGGAGGAGGAGGATGAGGTAGCCAACACTGTATTTTTTTTTACTGGAGTAGCCCCCAAAATATTGGGACATATAAAAAAAAACAACTCTTTTCTGCAGAGTAGCTGTTGACATTATAGTTGCGCAGGAACTTTGTTGACTCTAAAGAACCTCGGGCAAATCGCACATCCCCGTGGCAGCGACTTTGCATGCGGATGTCATCCATATCAACTTTCGATGCCAGTTTCTGCGCCTACCATGGTGACCACGGGTAACAGGGAATCAGGATTCCATTCCATTCAGTATTTAACGATTCTATTTGACTCTCAGATATGAAGTGCACCCCACTAATGTACTATCCCACTAATGTACTGTAACGGCACTCTCAGCATAAAAGGGTTAAACCGCCGTTTAGTAGATCTTCCCCTCCAGAGACACAGGCACAGCTACTGCAGAACACTAATCCGCCGATCAGGAAACCATATGAATGCTGTAAACAGCCGAATAGGAAAAATCTTACGAATAGGTTTACACTCCTAGCAGTCGAACTGGAACAGCATACAATAAATCCCCCCAAGAACGAGAAAGGCTCCGTTTTGAGGGTCAAGCAGGAACAGTCAGAGCTGTGGGTTTATTGTGCTTATGTACACATTCTTGCACATTAGTACCACCCACAGGGTTTTGGAACACAACCAATAAACACATACAATACACTCAGACACTCCCACACAAATTCCTCCCCTCTGCCTGTGATTCAATTACCTTACACAATGGGTAATGTAATTAGCACAAGCAGAGAAATAAAATTTTTCCACATTATTCATAACTTGAAAAGTATGCATCACATTCGCATAAATTAAATGTATTACATTACATTTTCAGAATCAGAATACTCCAAATACAAACATATGTCAAATTCATACAAATTGGTCCAGTGGTTCAAAAGATAGATCGTAGTCCTTTGTGACCAAAGGAAGCATGGTTTTTCTGCCCAAGACCAGTTCCACAGAGTCTTCTATCCTGGAGATAATTGTGAAGTAATCCAATTATCTCCAAGGACAGAGGCAAAACTCCATTGAACACATGGCAGCAAAAGACAATAAAACACATAAAAACATATAACTGTGCAGCCATTGCACAAAACAGGTACATTCAACATTTCCCCAGATAGCTCAGATCTGAGTGCACATTATTACTGAATGGCGCTCAGAGCACACACATACAGTTCAATTGCCATGAAGCCAAAGTCTTTCCCATAGTCTTTCATTATACGAATGGGCTCCAAGGCATAGCTATCTGGGGTATCACCGCTCAAACAGGGCAAGCACCAAATGACCCGGCTTTCATGTCTTTGCAGGGGAAAATCAAGCCTTTTAACATGGGGCCATAATCCAAAGGCAACAGGCGAGCAACCAGGCTTCTCCAATGCAATGTGGCGAGATTGGTCTCGTCACATGTACTATTTAGCACCAAAATAAAAATTACTTTTTAAAACTCAGTTGTACCCCCGGTATTTGAAGCTTCTATTTGACTCTCAGATATGAAGTACACCCAACCCCACTAATGTTCCAGTTTGAATTCTTTCCTAAGCTGTCCCTATCAGCAGCAGCATCCTCTCCCTACACCAATTAGACGGCATGTGTGCGCGGCGCTACATGACCCCTTATATAGAGAGCTTATATAGAGAGTCTGGGTCACATGCTGCACTGGCCAATGGCTTCTAAGGGCACACAAGTCAAAAGCTTGCTGATTGGCTGCCCTGCAGCCTTTGAAAACATGCCAAACACCGAACTCCAACACGAACATACAGTGCCGACGTGTTCAAGGCTGGGGCCAAAAAAACGAATGTTCGGTACGAACCCAAACTTTTCAGTTTGGGTTCGCTCAACTCTACTTGAGACACAATGCCATCCACGAGTTAAACTGAAAAACAAAATATTTAATCTTTGTGACACTTAAATAGAATTTGCATAATAATTTGGAACAGGGTGTATGTGGAAATTTCCTGATTGTTTGCCTTATGGCAACAAACAGCAGTCTACAGTGTCCAATGTACTTCTTCCTGTCCATTTTTTTATATACTTATGACCACCAACATTGTCCCTGACACGCTTTATATTGTATGGAGGAACTATGTCATTTTCATGTTGTCTAACACAATTTTATTGCTTAGCTTGTTCATTAGACTGTGAGTATTTCTTTCTTTCAATAATGGCTTATGGCAGGTTTTTGACCATCTGTAAACCCTTGAGATATGGAACGATAATGAACACTGAAGCTTGCATAAAGCTAATTTCTATGTCATATAGTAAAATAAAGGTACTTGAGAACAACAAGTGCCACATACACACACACCACTCCCTGTGTACAAATGGTACCAATGTAAAATGGTGTGTGTGTATGTGGCACTTGTTGTTCTCAAGTACATTTATTTTACTATTTGATTTTAGGGTGTTGGGGAACACCTCTCTCACTCCACGACTGTGTTCATATTGTTTACCTTTTCACTGTGTAAGTGCCATTCACTTATTTCCTTTTTCTATTTCTAATACCTATGTCATGGCTGATAAGTTTTTCCATATAATTTATTCTAACAATATCAATAATTCAGCTACAGTTTTGTAGTCCAAGTGTTATTGACCATTTCTTCTGTGATTTTGCCCCACTATTAGAACTTTCTTGTTCAGACACTTATTTTGCTGAATTGGACATTTTTATATTGGCCCCACTTATTACTGTCCTGGCTGTCTTGAGACTTTTTGCAAAAAGAGAATGGAAAGCCTTCTCCACCTGTATCTCCCATCTGACTGTGGTTTCTATGTTCTGTGGGACTCTGATTGGAAAATACTTGCTCCTAATTAAAGGACAATCATTGACTGTCAGCAAATTTGCATCCTTATTGTACAGTGATGAGAAATATGATTAACCCTAATTTACACTCTAAGAAATAATGATATTTAAAGAAATCTTAAATAATCAAACAAAGTGCATGAATAGTTCTATAATAATTTTATAAAAAAATATATATTATCTATAATGTTTCCTGTCAAGTAATAAAAGACAGAGCCACTCAACATAACAAGTAAGAAAAAGCTTACTGATAAAAGGTAACATTTTCTCTAAAATTACTTTCCCGTAGGTCTTTTATAGGTTGACCAAGGTCTGTGTGAAGTAATTTCCTCCCTTTGAATTTAAGATGTCATATCACCAGTAAGAGTTTCAAATAGACTGGATAATTGTTCTCAATTTGATATAGAGTAGTAGTTACATTGTATGTGTGTGGTTTTTTTGTGTGATTTCTATTAAACATTCTTTAAAACAATCAGGCAAGATTGAGCCATTGATTCACTCGTTGAAGTCTACTCTGTTTGCAGTCAATGCATGACAGGCATGATACTGCCTCACAAGATATAGACACACAAGTCTTGGCACACAAAGACTCTTCAAAATGCAGACGATGATAGAAACATTAAGCTGCTGTGACTGGATGTATTGAAAGCAGAAAAAAAACAAATAATTCAGTAGCAAATCAGCCATGAGAAAACAAGAGACATTTGTGAACACTCATAAAAAAGAAAGAAAGAAGTGTTAGGGGGAGGCCAAAAGTAAAACACTCACAAACTAGGCTCCTGAGAACAATCAGCTGACTGAAGAATGTCCTACAGTGAATCACAGCCAGAAAAAATCCAGGAGGGCAAAACAAGCACCAAAAAAAGATATGATGCCTGCTAAAGCTAAAAGCTTTTAAATCCAAAGGGCTAAAGTAGTAACAGAGACATGTTTTATCGGGTGTACATTAGAGATGAGAAACTGGT